TGTCTGCTTGTACGAATTTGACTTTCTGCTTGTACGAATTTGACTGTCTGTTTGTACGAACTTGGTTTACAAAACCTTAAATATGTTATAGTTAAATATATATACTATATATAGTATAAAAATTTGAGCCGATTTGGATTAGTAGTTATCAAAAAAATTAATGTTAAATTTTATAAAATCGGTTATTAATTAATCGATAGTCAATAATCGTTATTTATCGTTAGTGATATATATCGATTAAAAATTATCAATATATATCGATATATATCTCTTAAAAATTTTGCTGATGTCCGTAACAAAAATCCTTTAAAATTTTCTGAATATTTTCAAATTTCCGAATATTTTTGAAACTTTGTTAATTTCCTGATTATAATTTTTTGCTTAATAAAAATTATAATCAGGAAATTAACAAGGTTTCAGAAATTTGAAAATATTTAAAAGTTTTGTATACGAAAAATGCTCATCTCTTAAAAAAATAACCCGAGCAAATTCTGAATATGATTTTAAAAATTTTTTTATAGAGTATATTATAAATAAAAAAAGACACCTCTGTATGGTATATACAAAAAACTGTATTTACATAAAGATTTTTACTCTTATGAATAAATCTAAACTATTTTCATCAAACTATTTTCATATATAATGTATATCCGAATGGTATACATACATACAATATTATGTCTGAAAGCATAGCAACTTATGTGTTAGATGATAATTAATGGTATATAAATATAAACCTTGAATAGTTTTTGTATACATCAAGTCAGCACTTTACGGTAACAAACGTTTGTTTAGTATAATATTAAACTAATCCGTAAGTTACGTAAATTACATAATTTACACATGTCTAAACTTTTTGTCCAAAAGTTCTTATACATTTCACATACATATTTAAAGTTTCTGTTTCTATGGCAATATTTTTTAGTAATTGATCATATTCTTCATCATTATATCCCACTGTTAGCTTAATCATTACTCTTAAGGATTCTGCGGTTGCAAATAATAGTTCTTGTCCCTTTTTTTTTAAAAAAAAAGAAATTATTAATTTATATTTAAATTTATATTTTAGAATGAAAAAAAAATTTTATACTTATTCATATATTAATTACCTTATTTTTTGAAATGGGATGATTAGGTGAAAGGTAAAGTGGTATTTCAACCACTTGAACATTTATAATATTTAAGGATTTTAATTTTCTGGGAAAAGTACGCACAATATTAGGATTGAGTCCATTAAAATGAAAGCATTTGATCACTGTTTAACGTTAAAAAAGTGATATATATTATATACATGAATTTAAAGTTTTAACGAAATATAAATATTATGTAAATTACTTGATTCAACAAATGTTTTTGTTGCAGACCCGGCGTTAACAATTTCAGTAGTAGTTCCAAATATCTAATAAGATAATAAAATCATAAGAATTATTGTTATATTATTTTTATTATAATCATTGTTATATTATTTTTATTATTAATTATTATTTTTATTTTTATTTTTGAACTATTTTTAATAGAATTGAAATCTAACCTCTATCCAGCCTCCAGGTTTAAGTACTCGAAACATTTCATTCTAATTTTTCAAATAAAAAATTGTTACTATATACCTATCAATATAAAGTATCAATATAAAGTGCACGATTTTCTTTATTAACACAAGACAGTAAATACCAAATGATTATCAAATAGATTTCCGCGGAATTTTGAAGAAGATATCGATTGGTGGAAAACATAATCAAATATCTAATAGGATATATTTAAGAAAAGAAATATATATATATATATATATATATATATATAGTATTTTTATAACAGAAATAACAGAAAAAAAAGAACTAACAAAAAATTTGATATATTACATTTTTAGGAAATGGGATTTCATCAAAATAGTTATATTCAAGAAATGCGCAGTTTTCCGGTAGACTCTCCTAAACATAAATAGATATTAAATTAACTTTAAATGTACATGCATTCAAAATACCAAAGATCATTTTATTAATAGAATTTCTTACCGCGTTAAACATTGTTGAGGCATCCAAACCCATGAACGTTGACATTGAATATTGTTTTGACATATCTGTTAACCAAAATCCACCACTGGTTCTATAATATTAAGAACACTCATTAAGGTCAATTATATCACTGGTTAAACATTACTAGTTAAACATTAGTAATAATATCCTGATCAGTTGGGAATTAGCGGAAACGAAGCTTCCGATTATTCACATACGGTCAGGATATTATTAATTAATCCTCCCGTGATCTTGATATAGTGATCGGGGATTAAACATTACTA